GTAAGTATTTTTTGTAGTGCAAGTAGGTAGGTAGATAAATAAATAGTTTTCTTATAGGTAATTCAGAAGATTACTGTTGTCATAGTAAAACTTCTACACTCTACAGCTTTAAAAGTACTAAAAAGAAACTGACACTTTATCAATAAACCTTGGTGTACCTAAGTACATATCTTGGTACTGAATCTGATATTTTGAATTGTGTGAGAATCAAAGAAAGAAATAATACGATAGGGTTATAACTATGAATACTTTATTAGTAGTTTTAAGGCAGACAATTATTACACCTTGAAAAGTCTTACAAATTGAGACAAACATTTTTAAAGTCAAAAAGATAATACATAACTCTTTTAGTTTACTTAAATATACAACAATTAATAAATAAATGTGTAAATATTTAATCTGCCAAAATAACACTAACAATTTGCCAAGACTATTAACGACTATGTACTAAAATAGTAAGTTGTGCAATACATATTCATTCGTTTATAGTCATCACAGACACAATTGGCATAGTGATATATATTTAACTAATAAAACATTTACTTATGAGGAAAAGTGTATAAACCTTAATCTTAATAAATTATGCTTAACATGATATTTTGTAAACCACCAGACATAGCCATTGAGTAAACAGTTCATTGGGAGTACCAGCTGTTGTTGATCTTCATACCATTTCATTGTATAGTGCATAAAACTAGTTATGATACTACACAATATTATGTAGGTACTTTAGGCATCATTATCTTTGAGGTAAATTTCAATAGTTAAGGTAATTAAGCTTTGGAATTGTAGAATAGAAGTTAAATGAAATATGAGATATTTCATTTGGTGGTGGCTATTTTCAATTAGTAATAGATGTATATTAGTAACAGTATACACACAACAGTTTTTACAAAAATAAACATAATTATGGAGGGAAGTGGTTAACAAAGTGGTAACAAATAACATACATAGTTATGTAAATAAGCTAAATCAAAAGCAAATTCTATTTATCATTAGTTGATACAAGATAAATTGTGCCACAATGAGTTAACATTAACAAGTTTATTAGTAAGATGGTAATTGATAGAATATGTTTGTAGAAATGTACATACAAATATTCAAACATTACATCTGTATAAATGTTTTTGAACTTTTAACAATTTACATTGTACTTTAGAACAGAAATCTAAAAACTATTCTTTCATATACTCAATTCATGGGGTGTCTATGCATTGTGCATAACTTAAAGCACCATAACTTAAATTGACTAATTTAATGTACTTATGCATGATTGATGTCTTTGAGAATATCCTGGTCCTTGATTTAAAGATATTTAGATAAATTATTATCAAACGATATTATGCTAATCTAATGCTATTAACTCCATTGAACTAATAAAGAAATGCTTTATATATTATGTTTCTGTTATCTTTGATTTACCATTCAGTTTGCCAAGCTGACCTAACATAAGGACAGTATTAATTAAATTTTCTGAGTAAATACGTTGATTTGTTTCCATCCTTCTCAGCTTCTGGACAACATATTTGGAGAAAAATTCCAGCTCATTTTCATTCCCTTGAATCCTTGGTTCATCCTCTAAACTCCTCTTACGTTTAGCCTCACGGGGGTTGGTGATATTATTCTTAGCTTTCCTTTTTGGGGATGGTTTTCCTTTGATATCACTACTTGCACTGTTAACAAAAGCCAGATTCAAGTCTTCAGCCAGATCATTAGCTTCTTCCTCATTCAACTGTATAGTTAGATCATCAGGCACCGTTACCATCGGCACATGGTTTTCAGAAAATATAGGGGATGGTAGGAATGATACTCGTTTTCGTACTTTTACTGCTGAATGTTTTGGTTTAGTAATGGATGTGTCCTCAGCAGTAGCTCCTACTGTATGTCTTCGGTTTGCCTTCTGCTTTGTTGATTCAGAATTGTGAAGACGACTTACAGATTGTTTGTTGCTCCAAAAGTTCACCTTGATCTTTTGCTTAGGTTTAGGTTTCTGTTCAACAGGCTTTGGTTTATTTAACACAGGAGGGAATTTGTACCGAATATTATCATCCTCATCTTCAACTTTATCAATTTTCTTCAGTTTTGGTGATTTAGCAGTATTGTTAAAGAAGTTAGTGTTCAACTTGTACCTTACTGTCTCATCTTCTGATTCATAACCATTTTTCTTAGATGAAGATTTATCAGCTGATGCGGATTTCATTGTTTTGATGATATGTTTAGCTTTTCAGGGTCAGTACAAAATTAACAGTCTTTTACAGCACCTGGAATTAGAAAAACATAAAACTAATGAATAAAGTAATATCACGTTTCAATGTAAAAATATAACGTAGTGCACGATAACTTCATTTCAACTGTAGATCAATTAAAGAAATTATACATTTCGCGTAGGTTTCGGCAGTGTTTCCCGCCCAAACATTTGTCAACAACATCATGTAAATAAAACTGTTATCATAACACAAAAGTCAATAACCTTGAGCATTTAGAGAAAATAAACACGTGTTAGTTTAAATTGTAATGATTTATATCCCATACCGTTTCTATTATTGGCAAGGAAATAGAAGATAATAATATTTTGAGGTTATGCGACGTTTGCACTAACTTATTGTTAAAAATAAAGGGAAATTGTTTCTAAAAACTAGGAAGAGCAAGGTAAAACTATAAACTATGATTGTGATAGTATTACTAATGGTAGTTAAAGTCCATTTTTCACACAATATTGTCTCGTCATCATTATCATTTGATAGGCAATTACTATTACATAATCATAATATTTTATAGAATAAATCTTACCTTTATTAACTTTCATTATTATTCACCACAAATTCACTCACTGTGTTGGTCACAAAACTCAAAAATAAATAAATATTATCCACGAATACAAACACGACACGCACGATTTGGAGTGTTCATGACGCAGAGCAGTTCCAAAATTATCCGCTAGAGGCGTAGCATCAGCGCGCGGGAAAACTACGGGCGCGTTCGGAAACACAAAATTAAATACCTAGAACAGATAAGTAGATAATCTTGGATGTTGGAAGTGGAAAATGATGGTTAAACCATAATAATTCAATTCATACCTATTTCACTTTCTTAGAAAAAATAAGATTTACCGATCTGTGGTACCTATGTATTATTAATTAACGTCTGTCGGAGTCGGGACTGGGACAGTTGCAATATAGTGCTGATTCATAACTATTTATTAGTTTACTAGTACCTACATAGGTAAATTGTAAATGAATTAATGTGATAAAAATGTTTAAAATTAAAAAATAATTTAATAAACACCTGTATTTCGAACTTTTTCCTGTGTTGATATGCATTTAAACAGTAATAAAATAACACTTTGTGAAACACACACATAGGTATTAGTTCCGTGCGGGAACCGAACCTGTGACACGTTGCGGTACAACCCGTTGCTTTGTTTTTGCGCTAAACGTAATGTAGTCTTGTATTTTTATGAATTTGGCTACTTTACATTCCAATGAAATATCTTTTACTGATAAACAGTTACATTATAAAGATATTTAGTCCGTTTACCACATTTTTCATTAACATGGCTAAACGTTTTCTTTCACAGTATGCATACCTAAACAAAACATCTTAGAACGGGGGTACGTAATGTCAATAGTGTTCAAAAGCTGAGCGAAGCACGAGACATCTTTTCAAAAGACATGAATGTAACACACCATTTTTAAAATATGACCGAAATAAAAATTTTAGGGAATCTAGAAATCTCATTAAAGTCTCTAGTATTATAATTAATCACTTGTACCATTAAGTAATAGGACACTAAATAACTTACCATATGATTTTTCATGGAAATCCACCCCATCTTGGCACGAAACTTTAGTTTACGTTTCGGATTATCCGTGATTAACGATTTATAATACAACACAGTCACAATTAATGTCTATTTTAGCGATTTTCACGCTATTTTGTTTAAAAGCTTAAGCTTTGTGTGCCGCGAATTGAGAGGTTATGACAGTCTGCGAGATCTGCTCTCGGACTGAGTGGGAGGCTGTGCGCAATGCGGCAACGCGGCTGTCTACAAAACATTAAGCTTTAACAAAGTGCTCATGTATGCAGACAAAACAAACAGAAACAAATTCTATCATTTTCAAAATCAAAGCAACGAGTTTTTAATTACCTACAAATTGCGCGAATTCTAAAATAATCTGAATATTGCAAATATTTTTTTAGGTTTTATAAAAATGCATTTTTTAAATTAAGTACTATTAAATTTTAGCAGTATTAATAATTTAATTGTTAAAAATTAATATTTTAATAGCTACCTACTCTGTGTCATTTATTTTAAATCCGCGGGAAAACTTTGAAGCTATTGATTTTGAATTGCGAACGTCTTTTCGCATGTGCCTAGAGCTAGGCGTGCGCACTAGAAACTGGAGTTTATGAATGGATCAAGTTCTCTAAGGGTTGTCCTAGAAAAGTAAAATGTTGTCTATTAACTTTAACGTCAACGCTTTGTCTTCTTTCTTTAATTTTTTCGAAGAATGGTATGGCTTACCTATTTTATATAGCAAAGTGAATAGGAACTTGACTCGTTCAATCAAAATGTTAACTTGTGAAAAATAAATATCTATCAAACGTTAGTTAGTTGTTCTTAAGTACTTTAATTAATACTTAGAACTAGATATTGGATGACAAGGATGGCTTTAGGTAGTAGGTACCTAAGTAAGTAAATCAAACTATTTACATTTTCATTTTCTTAGACACCTATGAGCATATTATAACAGATTTAAGTAGGTATCTTCTTAGGTAAAATATCGACAAAAGGATGTTTTTCAAGAGAACTGAAATTAACTTTATAGGAAAAGTAAAGATTCATTTGCGCTTATTTGCGAAGATGTGTTTTGGTACCACCCTGTGAAGTTCCTTACAATTTTGAAACACATTTCGTATTTATGCATAGGTATGTTAGTGGAATGGTTAAACTTAAATTTAACTTAATTATGTACCTACTTATATAAAATGTCACTTACCTGAGCTCTAACTGCGGCTAGATGTAGTTGCGTTGCTCTGTAGTCGTATTTCTTTACAGATATATCTTCCTGTTGTGATAAACAAATACATTTTAGAACATGATAAAAATATCCCTAAACGAAAACAAAATAAAGTCGACATTTACTAATGAATAAAAAATAAATAAAATGAAAAACAAAATAGTACAGCACTCAGCGTAAAAAGTTTACAAAACAAAAGACAATCACATTTCGAAGATTTGTTTTTCTTCTTTTTTTTCTATAGGTATACTATAGGTACTTGTATTCAGCCTGATATGCCGCGATTTATTTACAACCTCTTTACACTAGCGTCGTTGCTAGACTGAATAAAAACGGCATCTACCGATGTCGCATTCAAGTCTGTAGGCACCTTGTAACTTTTACATCGTTTGCGGTTGGGTGTCGTCAGACCTCTGTTTAGTTCACGTGATGCGCCAAAGATGGCTCTAGTAAGGATTTCACTACTTCTACAACGACTAGAAAAAGATGGATCCACTAGTACTAGTATTAAGTTTATAAATTACCTAAATATATTAATAACAAAACGAATAACGTTTTCCTGTCCTTCCCAATATTCTGAATTACATTGATAAAATACCTAAAGCTAACCTGTCACAGGTAGCCTAAATGAGTTTAACTGCAGTAAAATATTAAATTGGTAGGTTTAAGTACCTACCTACATTTTACCTGTTAATTAACTGGGTATGTAAGTGTAAGCAACAACAGGCAAAGTATTGCCACTTGTATATCCATTGTGCTTTATCCTTCAATATCAAGCTAAGCGGAAAATTTTAATGATGTTGAAATCAGGCCGATTTTGTTTTCGCTCCAAAAATGTTTTCGATTTAGCTTTATGGACGAATTCATATTTCCAAGTTTCCTTTACCTATATTTTGCAAGCTTGATACAAATGCTTTCTAAAAAAATATTTAGATAAATATATAATTACAGTGTCTTTTACGTGGTGTTTGCTTTTTGGGCCAATACGGGTCTATTAGGTACTTACATGTATCAAAGCCAATTTGTTTTAATTATGGCAATGGTTTAGTATTTTTTCAATGGCCTGAACTGCATAATATTAAAAAAATATATAAACTTACCTGTATTTCATTTACTTTGTTGTAAAGATTACTCTCGATACCTCTGGTTTGATGTCGACCTAGTTGATCAAGACTTTCCTGTGAAAAAAAGTTTCCGAGTTAATTTATGACAGTATATTCTACAATTGAAAATGAACTGATCTTTAGACACCCTTGAAGCCTTGTTCGCACTATGCTAGTATTTTAGTCGAGCAGCGAGTGTTTAGTAGTAGTAAGTAGTATTCTCTTCCACAATCGAAGCGAGAGAGCGAGTTACTAAATACTCGCTATTTAACTAAAACACTAGTATATTGCGAATAAGGCATAACGATTAGTAGGACTATATTTGCAAGTCATCTTTTATAGGTACCTACTTGGTTGGTTTTGGAAACCACTGTTGGTAACTTCTTAGCTAGATTTAAAAAAAATAGTGTAGGAAGGTCCTCAGAAGCATTAGTATGAGTTTCTTTTTCGTTTATAGTAATCGAAACGAGACGGCGTTCGGCGCTCTGATTGGTTTGTTCGTTGGAACCGGCCAATCACGCCCTCAGGTTCGTACCTATGTCGATATTTTAAAATACTATGAAATAAGATTCTCTAATATTTAATACTTATTTACTTGTAGCTGTTTAATTTGCATTTCTAAGTCCATTGCGTCTTTTTTCAGCTGTTCGTAGTTTACGCGCGCTTGTGCGCCCATCCGGTCCAGAAGTATTTCTCCGCGTAGAATAGGAGGCATGCTTTCCTGTTCGAATAAAAAAAATATATTAAAAATTATTATTCAACTATTAGAAAATAGTTTCTGGTCGAATCTACTGACTGGACATACTAATAATAGATAATTAAAAACCTACTACACTATATATTTACCCACGTTTTGCCCAAATTTGCAAATCCCTAGGTTATATGCTTATAAAATAATCAAATCTCTCTCTATAATAACATGCCTAATACCTAATTACCTACGTTGATAAATTTTGTAACACAACTACATATCTGCAAGTAAGTACCTAATTCAAAGGTAGGTTAGGTAGTACGTAAGTACCTAAATTATGTTACATTAGGTAAACTACAGTAAGACAGTTATGTACCGAGTACAGCATAGAGACAGCAAGTTTATTCTAGATTATAGATAGATATTCTTCTTTTACAATCTTGAACCGTATAGCTCTTGGGAATGAGTAAACCTTACTAGCTTGCTAGTAGTGGTATCGTAAACTGTCATAGGGTCATATCATAACCCATTTTTAAATCGTAAAATTATGATTGTAGTAGGTAGTATAAAAGTAATACAAAAGTAATCTCTTACACAAATTCCTTATGCGTGGTTCTAATAAATCATATAACAAAATGACGTTAATATCTTATAAATAGGTAGGTACATAATAATATTATTATAGTCCTTAGATGTTGTTAACGATTTACTTATCATTATCATCATCAACATCATCATCAATATCAACATCTTCATCAACATCAACAGCTAATAAGTGTCAACTGCTGGGCTCAAAGGCTCAAAGGTCTCTCCCCACACAGAGATGGTTTAAGCATTAATCAACATGCTTGCTCAATGCTTGTTTACTCGTAATCTTGTGAAAAAACTCAAGGCTGCCCCTCTTCCAACATGCCTTTTCATTTTTCTTTCGATTGAGTAGGTACACTGAATTCTATTAAAATGTAGTAGCAATCAATTATGCCACCAGCCTGATAAAATGAATCAAGATAAAGTAACAAAGGACTACTGAACACTGCGGCTGTTTATACTTAACTCTGGTAAAATATTTTATTTGAATAAATTATACTTACTTATAACAAAGAAAATTGTGGTATTTTGATGTAGATTAGAAGGTTTAGGGATAAACAGTAATGTGAGTGTAAAATGTAATTTTATTCTAACATACAAAAAGTTTTTATACGGATTTGACTTTTAGTGTATTTGAGTTTAAGCCGTAACGTACTGTGCTATTATGATATTAATTTGGTAATTTCTTATACCTTTCTAAAGAAAAAAGATAAAGGGTTACATGTAGGTATACATGTACCTGTTAGTTTATGGCAGGTTTACTACAGAACTCTGCTGCCTCTCTATCAAAATGTGTGAGTCTTTTACTGCCGTACTGACAGTCATTTTAATAGTTACTTAAGTAAGTTAGTCCTAAGCTTGTTCTCTGAACATTAGTTTAAGTTTTAAGTACCTAATCATTAAAATGGCTCTGAGTATGTATAGCTTTTGTCTCTCTTACAGCAACCACAGGAAATTAACTAAAAATCGCGGGTTGCTCACGTAAATATACTGAGAAAAGCTCTACTAGTTTCGAGCCACTGAGGGGCTCTTCTTCATGAGCAGCGTGTACGTGCAGCTTTTTTTCAGTATTGTCACGTGAGTAAACCGCGATTTTTAGTTAATAGGTATAGTATGTCTTACGTCTCACGACAATTATTTTAAAAACCTCAGGAAAGAGTAAGAATGAGGAATAATTTATTTTACTTTGCCTTCACCATATTCAAATACTAATACCTTTATTTATGCCTATCTTAAATTTAGGATGACTGAACACCTAAGTTAAGTGTTGGCAAATTCTCGTGCAACAACTTTGGAAGCCGCTATTCCGTGCTAATGAGTTTAGCACTCGTACTTATTTCGGAGTAATTAAACATGGTTTTATCAATTACAGACTGTTTTGCACTAGGCATTACCAAACTAGTACGTAGGTGTGTATGTTCTAGAAATACGTTATTAATGTGGTGAACCACAACTAATAAGGCAACATTAATTGTGGGAGAGCCATGCTTCGGCACAACGGCACGCCACGGAAAACCGATGTGAAACAACGCTTGCGTTGTGTTTCGTCGTGTGAGTGAGGTTACCGGATGCCCAATTACTCCCTCCCCACTTCCCCAATCTCCCCAATCCTGGAATCCCAAGAATCCCCAAAAGGCCGGTAACGCACTTGTAATGCCTCTGGTATTCCAGGTGTCTATGGGCGACGCCGATGGCTTACCATCAGGTGATCCGATCCCATAAAAAGGCTAATGTTTTTGATATCTTCAAATAGTGTTCAATGGACATTTCAATAAAGAAACAAACAGTAAATTATAAATCTTTGGTACCTAAGTATTAATAAGTAAATATCTATGTAATGTAGTATGTGAACGGTGACAAAATTTACAATTCAACATAGTCTCAAGAGTGTTACCTAAAATCTGTGTTCAAGAGTATTGTAGAAGAGCTGAGAAAGGTGTACAAGTTGCTACATACTTACAGGTGAAAGTTTACGACAGCGAATGTACTTACTTATATGAAAATTACTTGGTAAGTTTGTAAAGTACAGGTAGCAAAAGAACTTGGCACCTATGCAGTCTGCATATAACTGACTGACTCGGTATAAAGATAGCAGTTGTTATGGGTAGTAAACGGTTACTGTCTCTGTACTAAATCTATTTTTATTGTATTATTTGCATACCGAATTCTTGTACCTACTGCCACCGGCAGCTATATTCTAAGCTACGTTTAGCTTCTAAACAGTTCAGAAACAAATAATATAGACAAAACTGTAGATGAACGCTAGATTACCTACATAGAGTAATAAAATGAAACTATTTCAGCAATTGTATTTTAAGCTTTTCAAAGATTATCCCTTTCATAAGCAGAGTGGAACGAACAATCGTTTTAATGGAACCTACAGATTTTATTACGAATTCTGCTATAAAAGGTGATGCAATAAAACAAGTGAAGTTAACGTCTAGTTATAAAATGATAACATTGTATTTTACTAAACTGTTTAAGAACACTAAGTACTATTTAGTATGTAGTTATAAACCTACTTAGTATTTATCAGTAGATAGCGATACAATGTCATAAATGTACCTACGATAATAGATAGTAGATAAACTGATGATGTACAGACTCAGATTTTGTCAGTTTTATCTTTGGATAATCTATATCTAACGTCCTATTTACTGTCGGTTTTTGAATAATATATTAATATTAACTTTTGTATTTCTAAATTCACATTACCAACCGTTATGTTTGATTAAATCACTTAACTGAGGCCGTCAGAGACCGTAGCATTTATAGTTTAAAATTGTATTTTGTAACCAATAACCATAGCCAATCATTGGTTACTATCACTGTACTGAAGCGATCTTTATTTGCTATAAGCGATATTCATTAGATGCATATTTTTATTAAATAAATTGGCTGACTGTACTCACATAAAACTCACGACTTGATATTCACAAGCTCCATAACCCTTTACATTTACATTTTCACATGGATTAGAGTAGGTAATAAAACCCAGTAATACTTTGCCCGACTCGGGAATCGAACCTGAGACCCCGGCAGTCACGAGACGAGACAGTTAATTAAATAATTTTGGTATTATTTATTATTTACAAAAGAATTTATTAAAATGTCACATTTCCACTACTTACAATAGAACCCATAACAGCATATCCGCATCTATTCACAATACGCTCTCTGATGTGAGTAGGTTCCTATTGTCTCCGGTAATCTGTCTTAATTACCTGCAAACTATAGTCTGTAGGTTTCCTTTTAATTAACTATGGATAGCTACAGGAATGTCAGTGTCTTGTCATTAGGATCGGAAGCTTATCCTGATTAGTACAAGACGAACTAAGGTATATTTAGTTAATGCATAACATAGCATCACACCTTATATCTTCGAAGGGGTAGGCAGAGGTGTACATTACGGCACTTAATGCTACTGTACAATGTAACACCCACTTTTCACTATTTATGTTATGAGTCCGACGTTATAGGGGGTGAGCCTATTGCCATTTACCGAGCACAATTCCAGACTCCATGCTACTACTGAGATTTTTTGAAAAAATCCCATTAATACTTTGCCCGACCCGGGAATCGAACCCGAGACCCAGCCCGGCAGTTGCAACCATTCGGCCAACGAGGCAGTCAGTTCGTTACTTGTCTTACTTGATCAAGTCTTGTAGTAGAAGCTAATTTGCTGTTATGTATTGAAGACAGTCCTGTATTGTCATTAAATCTATCAATATTACTCGAACCAAAAATAAAATCTGATAAAATCTTATGATCACTTGAATAACGAAGCAATATCATCAGTAACAGTATTAATCAACGTTACAATTAGAGAAATTCCGATCATCTTCAAAGGAAGCATCAAATAACAATTAATTTGTTCCCTGTTTCCTCAATTTCGCAAACATACAACAAACAATATGAACGTATTTTTAGTATATAGTTAGACAGACCTTAGGGATGGTCGGGAAAGTTCTTAATAAGGAAATGACCTCATTAATCTACACACGTCGCCTTCGAAACAAGATTGAACAGTAGCTAATATATGTACAGGTATACGAGCTATACAGGTATCAACTCAACCAGCTAGATAGATAATACAATGTCAAGAACTTTGTTCAGTATTAAATCCCTGAGACGTAGAAATGTGTTCTTAGTTGCAAGATTGTAACAGTTAGCGTGGCATTTTGTCTGGTATATGATTATAGGATCGTTCGTTCCCTCTTCTCATTGCAAGTGGAAATGGGTGAGAAAACTAGCGTAAAAGCAGATGCATTAGCGGTGCACCAGTGGTCACCGAACTCTGTAGAGAAGAGCATAATTTGAAATGTCTTTTTTACCTGATTTAGAAAATTGTTTAGACTTCATACGTGTATTATCAATCTACACACATACCATGTTTAAAAATACATGTTTGATTGTGTCTATTTCCTGTTCCAATAAGTTTATTTAAATCACGAGTAACACCAAAATCTTCGCTTCAATATCAATTTCTGCTTTCAAAATAAAGATGGGATAATAATTTAATCGCGTCCGTTTCGAAGTTGTACGTTTAATCCCCTAAGCAATTTGAAGTAATCCCTCTCCATGGCGGCTTTGGGTTAGTCGAAACGATAAATAAATAATGGAACTTGTTATTGCGAGTTCTGGGCTTTATAGGCTAGGGAAACTATTTCAGTCATGGAAATTTATATTGTCGTCACTGTATACCGCGGTGCATAATTACATAATTCCTATTATAGTTAGTGTTCTTATTTACCTGATTGCTCAACGCGAGTAGGGTGCGAAAGATGCCGATTTCGAGTTAATAAAACCTCAATCGAAGTATGTTTCCGTATATCAAATAACAAAATAGTATCTTTCATACTTGTTTCTATTGGAATGCTCCTATTCTACCCCTAGTGAGGAACAATACCATCCAAGTAGGCACGTTTTAGTATCTAATTCCGTTCAAAATATAATGCCAATATTCATTAGTGTAATAAAACAAAAGATTAGATTACATTATACCTACGTCCAAATTGGGGCAAGCAGTAAATTATGGCTACTACAACGAAATAATTTGCTGAACTGCGTGATCTATTTCATTTTTGACAGGAACCTCAACCCTCGTCATTTCCCTTCTTTATTTATTCAAATATTACCGCGGGAACATCCAGGGGTGGGTCGTCAGCGTCTGGTGGGTATGGTGGTAGGAATGCCCTCTTCGGTGGTCGCATGGGGGGCGTGGCAGTGAGCAGGGTTCTCGCCAAGTGTGCCAAGTCGGCCGTGCTGGACACTGCGCGAGCTTGAGCGCACAGAGACTCGTAGCGGCGAAGCTGGTTGTTGCTCTGTTGGTAATAAAATTATCTTATAATAATGATGTAGGTACTGCAAGATGAATATATAAAATAGTCTTTTATAACAAGTAAAATCAGAAGTCCAGACCTTATGTCAAAACATATTTATGGTAACAGATCGATTAGGTATTAAATTTTGTATCGTCTTCGAACTTCGAATTGTTTGTATAGAAAAAAGTGGAGGCAATAAGGAAATAAATAAGATACCCTACGAGTACTTACATAAAAAGTGTTTATGTAAGTGGCCTTTAGGGACACATTTATTTGGTGAAAAAAGCCTTTTTAGGTTTGGGTAGCGTGTATGTTGTGCCTAAATGACACAAACAGACCTAACACAACATTTACTGATCCGTGCTTGGTGATACGACTTCTGGCTAGTGACTGTACTTTGGTTTAATTGAGAACGTGATGTTTTTTTACCCTTCCAGCAAAATCACAGAGAAAAAATGATAATAAAAGTTATTTTGTGCTACTTATGCTGGAATACTCAATTTTAAGACGTGCTTAAATATCATGCTGTCTCTGTCATTTTACAAAGAATTTGTAGTGACAGAACTATACTTCGTGCGTGCGACTTAAATTTGAGTAACGTTTAAGTATTCGGGCATTAGTTGCTACGCTACAAGATCATAAACTAAGTACAAAAGTACACGTCAAACTACAAACCTCTTTTTTGTTGGTTAAAAATGTTTCATGTATCAAAGTGCGACCGATATCAACCACTTTAGTTTCTGGGTCGTTGGTCGTCGAAAACATTGTGTTCATGTAAAAGCTTTAATGGAACGCATTGCAGTTACAGTGCCGTATCCATTTTTATACTTCCACTCAAAGGTTAGGTACCTTAGAACAACTGTTCGTTTTCAGAAATAATTTTGGTCATAAAGAGACTAGCTTCTGCTCGCGGTTTCGCCCGCATTCCCGTGACATAAAAAGTAGCCGAGGTGCTTTATTTCTTCTATTTTTTTTAAAAACGTTGCCCCACTTTAGGATTTTCTCCAATGTCGTAGGTGCGTTTGTGCGTTTACAAATATACAATATCACATACACATGACACCCAGACCCGAAACAACTATTTGTGGATCACACAAAGAGTTGCTCCGTGCGGGAATCGAACCCGCTACACGTTGCGCGGCAGCCGGTTGCCCAGCCACCGCGCCAACCATGTTATTTCAGATCATAATCTACGTCTATTCCAAATTCCGATCCCTTCAGCCATTTTGACACGATTGAGTAACAAATATACACACAAAGACAAACTTTCGCATTTACAATATTAGTAAGATTGGTAATGACAAGAATGGATTATACTAATTACCTCTATTGATGAAGTCAGCGTTAAGTTTCTATTACTTAATTTTCCACGTGCCAATTTTTGCTAATTATTATCCGGACAAATTCTTCTTTATGAAAATTCTAAATTTCACGCATTCTTAATTTTCTGAATGCCTCATTTTCTTAGTTATTGATAGTACGAATATTAGTAAGAATTTCATAAAGAAGAATTTGCCAGAATAATAATTAGCAAAAATTGGCACGTTGAAAATTAAGAAATAGGAATTTATCGCTGACTCCTATTGATTACTTCAAGATAGTTAACGTAGTTATTGATCTTTTATATTCTAAGTTGGTTACTATTAACAAAGATAAAAGGCTAAAGGCTTTTGACTTCAAAAGAGTAAATAAATACCAAATATCTGTAAGCAATTTACAAGTTAGAAACAACCGCTGTGCAAATCCCGATATAATATCAGTCCCGTTGTGTAAAACGGATATTTTAATTGCCTTATTTGAATGAAAAGTGCCTGTTAGTACTACAGCGGTTCGATGTAACAGACCTTTATGAGAATACCCTTTAATATTGTCAGTAATGTTTTTATAAATTGTTATTTTATTCCTTCAAAGTGTGTTGTAATAGTGAGCCATGCTTTGTTATTCTATTGAAAGTTTCTTGCAATATAAATCTAAGATATACGATTTCGATGAATTACTTTATATAACATGTTTTCAACATTGTAGGTATACTCTATTCAAATAATGGGTTTATTGTGTATGTGAACTTATATGTTTGTAAACGCACCCACGACACAGGAGGAAATCCTAGTGTGGGGCAACGTTTAAAAAAAAAAATTGTTTTAAAACCAGCCAAATAGGTTGACGTCTAGTAAAAACAATTTTACCTTCCTATTTTGAAAATTGAAAGCATGATGTTTGAAACGACATTGTGTTTAATCTCACAAAACAAATTACCCTTCGTGGGCCATTCAGTCTGGTGAAAGTAAATCTCTTTGAGTAGGTCATGTAAAAAATTAAAGTAAAAAACACGGAAATTCAATCCGAATAACATCATCAACGTGATTGGAAAAACCATTACTGCTTTATTCGCTTTAGTAAGTAACTTTTAATCTCTTAAATCTGTAGAGTTTGCCTACAATCGCTATCCTCTCGAGATATAAAAGATACAGGTCAATCCACTTTATCTTCGGAAGTTATCTAATGGTTCTATGTAATAACTGTCTAACTTCATCAGCTCAGGCAACTTGTAACGGGCAACTAATGCGGACACAAGATGGATGACTCCTAACTGTCATTTTGACATGACATTGCATTTACTAAGTTCCTGAATATTTTGTGAATTTCGGCGTATGAAGTATCCTTTATCAAAAGGCTTAGGGAAACTATTTGAGCCGGAGCTTGTTCAATATTATTACCGTACGCTTTGTTCTCTAGATAGGCACCTCCGATGATGTTCATGGAAGTCCTTGACTTAGTTTTAGATATTGACTCTAGAATTTTTTGTGAAGACAAGAATGCTTTGTCGTTAAGGAATAAAAAAAGTAGGTGGCGATGAATAACTTCGTGATTTGTTTCGTAGAGTCTGTGATACGAGTACAAAGTCATTTTACTTATTTTTTAACCCTTAGAGCGCCACGTCAGTCACCGGTGCCTGACGCTAGTGGAGGTTTGACTTTCACCATTTTAAACTTGGCAGTTAAAGTATTAACTGACTTCCCAAAAAGGAGGTTCTCAATTCATTTATATGTTTTTCTTTGTGTGTATTCTCAAAAAAATTTAAAAAAACTGCGGATCGCTTGAATATTTTGTTTAGATGATAGCGATTTTCAATTTATAATTCAGTGCATGTTCGAATGCGGTATTAGAATTTAATATGCTAGATTTTAGTTTGGAAATCCAACAGAAAAGTGTTTTAATTCCGTAAGTAGTTTAACTAATGAAAGAGAATACAACATTGTTTACAACGTGGTTGCAAATTGAACTATTAAATTACCACAATGTTAAATAAATTTTATTTATAGTTAGTTACATAGCTCATTGAACGTATCAGTTCCTCTCTTCATTAAATTCACATTTCCACGTTATGTCAATATTAATTTTCCAACAGATACTTTAAGCGATTTCGTATAAATTGTTGTTAAATGGACTGGCGAATTTGTACATAAAGCTACGATATATTTCCTTTTGCGAAACACGAAAACAGTATTTTCATAAATAGGTAAATATGTACCTAGATACTTTATAGGCTTCACTTTGTAACTCGTTTACCGTCGACAATTTATAATAAGGCTTTCATTTTATAATTACGTAAATGTTTTTTAACCGAAAAATCCCGGTACACTCCATTTTCAATAGTAAACTTAAGAGTTACTCTTAAAACTTTTACGTTTTCTCTATGGAGCAATCGGTCTACAAAAAATCAGTATTTATTTACCTTATCCGTAATAATTTCTCCTTCTTGACAGATCGCTTCGCTCACCGCCGAAGTAACGTCGGTCAGTATTTCTTCCAATTCCTGAAATAAAAATGGGAACGACAGATAAATAACAACGTTAATCTATTTACAAAGAAAATCATTTTAGCTCTTGTACGATCTTAAGTAAAAATCTAAAACTAATTTTATGCTAGCTTAAACATTCATATCTCAACAAACTACTACAGAGAAATGATTTAATTTATTCAACAATAAAATCGGCTTCTGACATCTGAAGCTACGTGAGTGATCCTCAGTTTAATTAAAGCTGGAGTTAGTTGGAGCCTCTGTTTGGAGCTTGAAGCTCCTTCAACTGCGGCGCCGTGAGGGCTGTCAAACATCACGAATTCGATCTACGAACGAACAACGACCCGTTCGATGTCACATGTCAATACCAATTGTCTTGGGAACTTGGGATCCGACCTACTTCTTTTTTGTCGATTTTATAAGCCAATTTCGTGGTGCATAGATTTCCGTATTTCAATCAGGATTCAAGATAGAATTCCGTCAAACTTCAGCCCTAGTTCGAGTATGTAGTTGTGTTTCGTTTCCTCTTGAAGATAGATTCCCGCAAGGTAAAGTTGGATGAGGATGGCACTTACATTATAATACGACTATAATATTGAGTTCCGAAACTTGTAGAAGACATTGTATCATCGACCGATGTGATAGTCGTTACCAATTAATAAAGTTTAAACGTTTCTGAAAACTTAATATGTATATTAGCATAAACAAAACTAGTCCTAACTAAGTAATAAAATAACAGTGGGTTTCTGAGATTATTAACAGTAAAGTTTTTGAAGAACTTATTGAAAGTCTGGGCCCTTAGGGATATACCTGTGGTTAATTTAATAATCGAAGTGGTAACCCTAATTCCTAAAAGTAAACATTGACTAACTATATGTCTGCGTAAACATGTGAAATTCGAAGTTTTGTTCTTATAACCTTTTGTAGTTCATTAAGGCAGTTGAATACACTTTATAGACCTAATAAGTTTTCTTAATAAGTATTTATTGGCTCTAGAATATCCAAATGGCCCTGTGATTTCGGACAAAGTACCTATTATTATCTTCTGTAATTTTCTGAAGTACTTAGCTGAATTCATAGCTAAATACAGATACAGTTAGGGTCTAATATTGTGTGTTCAGTTATTGCATTGTTACCTGTAGTATCGTCGGAAGAGTGTGTTTATGGTACTGGTCCATCATGGCATTGGTGGCTGTCAGTTGTTGCACGTACGTGTTGTGGGAATCATAGTACGTGGCTAATGTCGCTGGTGTCGGGTTGTTGCAGTAATTCAAGAAAGCCCCTCTGTAGTCTTGACGACTCTGGAAATTGTAAAAATTAAAGTTTTATTTAATAACATAATTATGTATGTACGTACCTACAGGACTGGATACCTTATGCTTATGCTATATGCTTTGCCTCTTCAACCTTGACACGTAAGTGCCAAGTCGAAAATCACAATTGACGCCAATACACTCGTTCAACATCAAACTTACTATGTCGAAAATAATTGCATAATTTAAATCATGATGGTTTAAAAATGAAAGAAGAGGTAGCCAGCAAGATGTGAAAATACTTTTGTAGTTGAACTAGATTTACAGATATATTGGCCGAGTGTTCGCAAGTGCCGGGCAAGGAGTCTCAGGTTCGATTCCCAGGTCGGGCAAAATAGGATTGGGTTTTTTAAAATCTCAGTAGTTGCACGGCGTGTGGAAATATGGCCGCTATATGGCAATAGGCTCACCCCCTATTACATGGAACTCATAACATAAATAGTGTAAAGTGGGTGTTACATTGTACAGTGGCATTAATTGCCGTAATGTGCGCTTCTGCCGACCCCTTCGGGGTATGTTATGTTATGTAATATTAATGATCATCATTGGTAATCAATCAAAATCTGTCTTAATATACTACTTATAATCTATCAATAACATTATTGAGAAACCGAATGAATAAATGTTGTTATATAAGACTCTTTAGGGAGAGGAATAAAGAACACGAATTCGAACGCAATCCAAAAATCACGTTTATACGTTGAAACATCATGCTAACAATCTCACAACAACGGTTACGGAAAACATAATTTCAGGTCGAGATATTTACCTTTGCCACGGTAAACGTACCTACATGCATCCGAATGCATGCGGGGATTTGACGACTACAATAGCCATCTGTACTTTCCAATATTGTCTGTTTCAATACTATCCTTCCATTTCCTTATCTCTACAACAGAATTTTTCATTTTCAAAATGTTAAAAGGTAAGATTTATATCTTTCTAAGCTGGTTATTTCATTGTCAACTCGTGCAGTGTGTCTAACTTAAGCTGCTTATTCTATTGTCACGTTAAATGGTTCACAAACTTTGCACAGTCGAACCACCAACGTTTGCAGTACTTAAATGCTGTTATTAAAATGTATTCCGTTATTTGCCTCCCCGACATTCTCACCCGGGAATTAACATCGCTTCTCTTGTTTTATAAAACGGTAGCACAATAATACTGATACGTATTTTGTCTAGGACACTTATATTTAGTTTTGCAGCGTGACATTGTGTCGCTTATGTGCGAGCTAGTTATTGCCTTATTAATCCCTCAGTGCGTTAGTTATTGCATTTTGCGATGGAAAATGAGTCATGATACGTAGGTATATTGCGTCGGTATCCTGGTTTTAGTGCTGCGATCAATTTTATAGATACTCGCACAGGTCGTTCGACCGCACGGCTGATTGCTCTCCAATATGCTTCCGGCGAAGCGAATAAAGATCACACGTGATCTCAATTAATTTCTCGCTGGAGATTTTTATTGAGCTCTGTCCGAATGCACTCACTGTGCAATGAACAATCACAAACTTTTACCGGACAATATTGTAAAAGGGTTAAGCAAATAGATACTACAGAACAGAAACGGAATAAAAATAAGATGTTGATAACATAAATATTATTTAGCACTTAATACGAGGAATAAAACTCCGTGAGCTGTTAAAAGAAAAACGTAGTTCAGTATTTATTTGTAGGCACTTATCGAAATGGAAAATAAAATACGAAACGACGAAGCTCGGTCTACCGTACGGAAGATTATATGAAGAATTTAGCTTTGATTTTATGTCCCATTACTTGTCTGGTTGTCGTTAAAATAGCGTTGATGTGTTTAATCCATTTGCTAAAAAATATTCCATGATAATAGGTATATAGTTTACTTTAAAACGAATATGAAAATACTATACAGTACGTATATTTCACGGAATCTCGTCACCAATATTTATAGACAAGTTATAAAAGATTAATAGTGCCTCGCCTCGATCTCAAAGATATTCAAATGCATTATTTAGAGGTTAGAGTTGCACGGGATATTCAGCTTTGAATTATTTATAAGCACTTACAGTATGAGTTTTCTTTGTAAACTTAGTCGACCGTCACATTTACACTTTTGAACGACAACTAGAAAGAGGGTAAGAGTGGTCACTTTTAATAATTTGAGCGTGATATTTACATAATAGGGTAGTTTCCTAAATTTTATTTTAATGTCCGTCTGGTACATTCTTTTAAAACTTTAGACACGTATTTTTTCTTTTCTTTCAGAATTAAATACTTTCAACGATATATTAATTTGAAATATCGTGTGACGTCACTGTGGGCCACATTTCATAGCACGTTATGACGTAACGACTCCTAAACTTATCGTCATTTTATCTAAGTATTGCAACTTAATACGAAGAAAAAAAAACGTGTCTAATATTTTTTTATTACTGGCGGACTAATTAGATTTTTAATTTGGATACCCTGGAAACTACCCAATTACCTATGTTAATCTATAAATAATTGTCTTTATAAAACCTATATATTAACAACTACCAATGGAACTTGATCATTCGCGTTCTAAAATTTATAAAATCCGGATATTTGAACTGTTCAAGCTTTTTGGCAACTGGCTTACTAGCGACTCTAATGGGATTAATTGGCAAACAGTACCATTCACTTACTCTCTACCAATCGCCACGTATAACTTGTTATGATAGATCAAAGTTCTAAACTTGGAGGATATTTAAGCCGATTTGAGAATAAAGAGAGAATTTCTGTAAAATTGTTTAAGGGAATGAGCAAGTAATCTCGTTTTAACACATCTCTGTGTCCTTTTGGGAGCGTCAAATTGATTCGACGAACACTCACACTTCTCTCTGAGATTGGACCGATGCTTAAATCCAATTTCTTCCGGTATTTCCGGATAGATTCGCTACTATTTCAACGGTATAGTTTTCGAAGCTAAGATAAAATCAATGTTCCGTCAAACGACTGTGTTTTTTTTTGTGGTTGGTTTATGGTTTATATAAGTCTAGTCACAGTTAGTCTACATTTAAAAATTTTAATATGATTAGCTTTATATATTTATCAATATTTTCATTGTTACGAAGAGTCTTTAATTTTATTTTCCTTTAACATAATAATGTTGATTTCGTAAGTAGAAGTTTCTTGTTTTTTATTCAGTTACTAAAATTTTATTTACCTTGTTCGTCTGTATAGTTTTTATTTATCACTTAATTGTAAAGTTGGTTAACCTATAATTGGCGACTATATAAGCCCAATACCTATTGTTATCTCTTAATACTATGTATACAGAAGCTGTTAGTACACCTATTTAAATAAATAATAAATAGTCTGTTTGGTTAATATAGGTGTATATAATTTTAAGAAAATTGACTTTATTTCAATACGTACGTTATAATTGAAAACCTTCTTAATCACGTACAGGTGGTTAATGTATGTAAATGTGTTTTTTTGTGCTAAGTCTAAATAAATAAATAAACAATACAATCGCGTATTATCTTGTGATGTGACGGTTTCCATGATTATTGACAAACAGTTTTTGTTTTCAATAAACATACATAAATATACATTTATCAAAATGTATATCAGTGCAGGAGTCCTCCATTAACTTAGGTAGGTTACATATCGACACATAGATTCAATATGTTTTGCTCTATAAACCCCATGACCCGAGATTTTGACAAAGTATCTACCGATAAGAGGTGATAGTTCGGTAAAAGGCACTATACATTATCAAGTTAGCCGGTTTCCGACCCCACTCCTGTAAGCGCCATGTTTTTAATACTATTACAACATCTGCCTACCCTCTCAAGGTACATCCTTGGTACAGTATTTCTGTTTTAATTAATTATTCAGCGTGACTAGCGATGTTTGCTTTTATAATAACCAGGGAAATTAGAATATGGGTTACATAAAACTAGGTCAGTAGTTTTATCTACAGAACCCATGTCAATTCATAAATTACTAAACCTACTTGAACGTGACTTTTGAAAAATTCGTAATACCTATGTTGTTATTGTTTTGTTTACAAAGGTCGAACGATATTTTTAACTGAATGCTTCTAGCGAGCAATAAATGTCTAAAACATTCTTCGAAACGAAAAATGTAGCGAGAAAATATTTTAGCACAAAAAATATACCTGTGGAATTTAGAAGACTTAAACCTTTTTTCTGGCCTGTTTCCGTGATCCTTGCCGTTAATAAGTACCAGGAGTTCTATACCTTCCTCCTACCTATCTACCTAACTACTATTAAGAATTAGATACTTTTGGTTCAAGGCTGGTAGGTCCACAGTAGGAGGTATTCATTAATTGTTTATGATTTTCGAAAGACACTACAATAGTCTCATGCCTGATAAACGTACCTATAACATAACTAACGAAACGTCCACACATTACAAGATCAAACCTCTATTTCGGAGACAAAAAAACATAGACTTATGGTCATACCTTGTTCAGTTGGTCATCAGCCTTCCCGAGGATAACTTCGCAGCCCTCTCGATGTGCGAATAGCTTTCGAGCCTGGACTTTCATGTGGAAGGTCCGTTCTATGAGTGGTGTGGAAACCAGTCTCTCCAAAGACTGTGCTGCATTGTTGAATCCTATGACGTCAGCCTCCACCTCCTGGAGTAACGTTTCCCAAGTGTGGAATAGTGATGATGGGCATGTTGCTCTGGAAAGAAAAGACAAATAAATTAAGACCTTTTGTTATTTTTGTTGAGCTTAAAGTTGGATGTCGTATTTATCGGGTTTGTCATTTGTATAATTTTTATTTTTTTTTCAAAACATCGAAATTGATGAAACTAGAGACCATATTGTCTAAAGAAATTTACCACACTGCTACTCTATTTTGTAAAACTCGCTTCGAGCTGACCACAAACAATCGAATAGCGAATTCACTTGTTTCGATAATTGAAAGCAATCCACACGAGTTCACAACCCGACACCTATCCAATTTCGAAGTTTGTTCAGCGAAGAGCCATTGGATTGGCAAGGAAAATTAGTACTGTACCGTAATTATATCCATATTGCTTTGAATAGTGATCAATTCAATATGTAGTGATCTATCATTGGCTGACAATGTAATTTACTTCCCATAGCTCATCCCGCGTACGGTATATGCACATACGTATTCATATAGGTTCAGTTGTCATCGATCTTAGTGAAGCCGTCGTGAGAGCTATACGATGGTATTGAGTTGGCTGGCATATCGACAGCTTACGAAACTAGCTCATTGTAGTAATCCTATTGTGCAATATCGAGTAATATATTGTTGTGTTCCATTTTACACTAGTTAGGTTAATGTTTTAGTTTTGTTGTTTATATTTCTTAATAAAGGTCGAGGCCTCGCGTCCATTGAATGCGGGTAGGATACGGTCTGTTGCTTGTTTGGTATAATTTCGGAGATTTATCGATTGTCTTGACGATAGACGAAGATAAGTGGTAATAGAAAACATTTTTGGAGGGGGAAATCATCTAATGACTTCTGTCGCTTGGGTGAGGCGAGAGGGAGTGTCAGACTCTTACTGACTAAAAACCACCCCGTTCTTACTCCTGTACTGCGAGCCGGAGCCCCGGCAACTCGTTAAGTCCAGCCCTATTGGGCACTATCAGTGGTGTTAAAGAAAACCTTGACTATATAACCATTTGGTTCTTCCATAAACCAAATAACTTAATCATACCTCTTATTAATCTGTCACTAGTTGTTGCGAACCACTTTACCTGTCAGCAGAAGTAATTGTCCATACGAAAGTGCATGCAATCGCTACAATTGTGGCCGCGAGTGTGAAGTGACGTCATTTGTCACGGGCACCGGAGCGAAAATGTGAAGTGTATTAAATTGATCCGTACTAAGGGCAAAATAAAATTTACTGATTAAGAACAAAATGTATTTTGTTCTTAATCAGTAAATTTTATTTTATGTACATTTTATTTAATGTAATGTACATATTAACAATATGTATATTGTGCAAATAGAATCCATCGAGAACTTGATCCAAATGCATTATGGGCTAGGTACCTGCGTTATAGATATTCGTTATTGAATACCTAATGCACGAAATCTCTTGATCCTCTTAAGAGAGAATCCCTCATGCACTCGAGTCAAGTTAATTCGATAAAAGACGCTCGTCAGTGCATGAAAATTAAATCGATTGAGTGGTTTTGTACCGAAAACAACCTCATAAATTCAATTTTAGAAATATTAAATTTCGCGATGAGTATAACGATTTTTGACATGTTGGTTCAAAGTCTGTATTTATGGTGCCACCTATTACCTACATAAAAGTTATTGATGTAGGAAAAGAGGAATTATTCTGTCGAATTCAAGTAGCGAATAAACCTAGTGTTAAAATAATAGTATCATGCATGCATGAAGCGGTTGCCCGCCAACCTACCGCCTGCAAATGAAACATCAATAAGGTTAAAAGCTTCCACGTTCATAATCCGACCGCACGTCTATTATTGCGTTATACAACGTTTTTGTTCTGAACCCCTTTTGCCTTTAAAATAACCATTAGTGAATTGAAATTTGCAAACGATAGTAAAAATTGGATTTCTCTATCAAAATATCAAACGCACTCTTGTTTCACTATATTATTAATTCTATCTAAGAGATCCAATTATAATTTTAAGATGTACCTGTACCTCGACAATTATTGTTGACAAAGTTAATGAGCTTAAACTTGTCAAGAACAGATAATTTTCTGGTTTACCTGGGAGCAAATATTAAAGGACGCAATTTATTTTTATTAATAGCAAGCCTTGTCGAACCACAAGTTCGATAGGTATTTCGTGAAAACAACTTTCCGATGTTGTCGAAATGAGATACGATTATCACGAGCCACTGAACATTGTCCAAAAACTTTTTGCGTCTTCATTTTTTATCTAGATACATCTGAGAAGATAAAAATATAATTTAATTCTGCGTATTTAATAGACACAATTCGAGTATAATTTTCACCAAAATATTCTCTAACACAATCATATTATCTGCTCTTAATGACAAGGGACTAATTGCTTTTGGATTGTTCAACGAAATATCAGAAACAGTATTCTGTTGTTCATATTAAGTAGATAACTTCGTATATATATAATCTGCATGTATAAACAATAATTTAATATTCATAAAGTCCGTCTAGTCTAGTCTAGACTTAGTTTGTAGGGCGGCAATGTGGTGGTAAATTAATTTACCAATCAAATGCTAAAGTTAAATAAACCTATAAACATTAAACAGTATGTTCGTATGTAGTACCTACATACTTAAAATTAAGACAAAAAAAGTATTTCGAAACATTTTTGTTTTAAAATGTAAAATGAAGACGGGCACACAATGTGAAACTTTTATCAATATCCGATAACCAATAAGTGCATCGACTTCTCTTGTAGGTACTCTGAGTTGATGTTCGCTAAGTGGGGAGATAGCAGCCATTGCTGAAACCGGGTCACAGGCTTTTGATATGCACAATTTAGGACACATACTCATGCAAAAATATCGATATTACAATTTTATCATTTGGTACTCCATAAACAGGATACGCATGTCGTACCAATCAAAATGTGTGATCCGTAAACAAAAAAAAAAACATTTGGCACAATTATTTTTAACTCTCATTTTGACATTTAATAAATGCATAAAATCACCTGAAAAGAGTTTTTAACACCTTATTTTTTAACAATAATGTTGCAAACTAACAAAACTAAAATTACTAACGTTCCTAATTCCTTCCGTTCCTTCCGAAATTCGATTTGTAATATAAAACAAAACAATTTCGACTGTGCACACTGGACAACGAGCTTAACAATTACATAGTTTTAATTTAAATTTCAAATCCGACAAATTAGGTCGAGCCTAGGTAAAAGGCTTGCCCACTGGGAACGGTGGAGATTAAAGGCCTTTGTTTCGTCGTATATTGAATGTTTATTGTACATAATTTTATGGATATCGTTGGGTTAAATTCATAATTAGGTAGTACTACCCCGTCTACCTTGGATATGGGAGAAATCCTAGTGTGGGGATAAGTCTACAAATGTTTTTAAAAGTTCGGAAGAGAAATGTGCAAGTACTTATATTATTGCTGCTAATTCTTAATTTATTTAACGAAACATAAGTAATTTCATTTCCTAATCAGCATTTCTTTTCCTACATGATTGACTACAAAATGCTATTGTCATCAAAATTATTGATGTCTTAAAACTTCAAAGTGAAGCCTAACGTCCCTTTTTGCTTTCGATATTTTTAAGGCTTGGTTTACATGACACAGCGGATAACGACACGACATAAAGAGCTCTCAGTCAGTCACAGACGTGCTAGAGTGGATATTGTGAACCCCGCTCAACACTCGGAGTTATTGGAAAAAGCGGGGCATCACTAAGATTAGTTTCAATTCATTATCTTTTGCGGGTTCTAAATTTTCAAAGGCCTTTATCAAAGCTGGGGTATTATGTAATACTCTTAGTGGCCTTAAATTTGGTGCCGTAATTTATAAATTGGAATGCAAATATTAGTTGATTCGATAAATGATAATTTTTCAATCTAATGGTGTACATTTTAGATCCAATAATCTCGGGTTTTTATAAATGGAATTTATTTTTGAATCTGTTTTTAGCAAAAAAAACAAGTGCTAAATCTTAAATAGATCGATTGTTGATTTAGTTATTGCAGGTGTTTGGTTTTTAAAGGCTTATGAGATCGATGCCGACGTTGAGCTACTTCTACCAGCCAAGAGTCACGATCTTGAGATTTCTTGTTTCATAGGAGCTAGATATCGTGAAATATTTACTGAAAGGTAGGTTGATTTAAAATAAATATGATTTAAAACACAAAATTAGCATATTTTGAAGAAACGAAGGCTCAGGCATTTAAAATTAATAAAACTATAACCAATTAGTAAGTATAGAATTTTGGATAGGCAAGATTTTTATTTTGTAACAAAAAAGCACTGAATAGTGGACTAAAAAAAGTATAGATGAACTACTGTGGACATACCCATCAAGAATACAGTTTCAATATTGACACGACTCTGTTGAATAACTGCCGGCAGCCAGCAGATTACCACCGAAAGAAAACAATTGCCAATCTATTATTAGGAATCTCGGTTGCAGTTCCATTTTTTGGTTTTGTTTTCCAATTACCTAATTCTTCTGGTTTGGTTTTCCAAATCCGAATGATCATTATAACAGATTTCCAAATTCATCGAATAATTCGTGAAAAAATACTTGAAGAAAATACAATATGTGTACAACGTGAACAGAATACTAATAATCAAGTTAATGCCTAATTCTGATTCCATGATAACCTTAGAGAAATATATACATTACACACACAGCTCAATAGGCATTAACAACGAATCTTGTATTCCATTAAGAATTCTAATATGTAATAACCTAGTTTCCAACAAAGGATTAACAAAGAGCTTTTATAAATATTAGGTTCCAATTAAATGTAGTGTTTCACTTTGTGTCATAAAGTTTACTCCTTAGTAAAGCTGGTGGTTGTATTGTTGTCCATTTTATCTTCTCAGGGAACACTTTAATGGCCATTTGTCTTCTTAACTGTCTGTCATTCAGACAGAGGTCCACTTTTTACACCCTCGACTATTTGACCGGTCTAAATAGGATAACGTTACGCCTGTGATTCAGTTAATAGGCAGCAGTGTGCTTATAGTACAAGCG